CAAACATGCTTGACAGAATAGCATGTGTTAGGTTGCCAGCAAACCGCGAACGGCTATAACAGCATGTATAGCAGACCATTTGTTTCTGATTTCTCTTTCTTATCTGATGTACTACTTTACTTCTATACAAGCAACCAGATACATATGTAAATGAGCATCCCCTGTGGAATTTGGTCTTCTCCCACACAACAGTCGGCTTACTTCACAACATAGTCATTCACGCGACTGATAGCATCTGTGAAGTAAGCCAACTCTTATGTGGGAGAGGAGCAAATTTCATAACTGAATTTATAACGAGATACATTGCAGCTGTAACGATGCTGTCCTATTTGGTCAATCTTGATATCCTTTGCTTGTTATGTAACAAGAGCAGCTAGTCCTTGTTGATGTTGGCAAGGTCAAGGTGGGAAGGGAAAGGGTGAAAGGGTTGAAGTGAAAGGTGAAGGTAATGATAATGAATCTTGTAATAAGAGATCTGAGTCCTCATAGATGAGAAAAGGGATGATCCATTCCTCCTTTTGGGGACTCCTATATATATGTACAATCTGAGGAAATAGCATGTACCAGAACACATGTCTGTAGATGCAAATATGGGTCTGTGTTACGACCGTACTTGGAAAGGACCAAGGTTTGTAGGACGGATAGCGGTGGTCAGCGAATTGTGAACAGATCGAAGAGACTCAGCTGAATAGTATCCCGGGTGGATGACTTGAGGTATCACTTGACCAGTGTGAAAGCCGAGTTGGATGACGAGGCAAAGATGTAGTAGATCTTTGTGGAGATGACTTGTGTAACTTATGATATTTCTTCTTGGGAAGAAGAAGTCTGAGTAGAGGAAGTGTACAAGCTGTCTAGAATGGTCTGATATATATATTATTCTGTAGGTCGAACTAGTTCTGCATTCTGTAGAACTAGTTCGGTTGCAAGTCGATTTTGTTCGGTGGATGGCGATCATGTTCGGTAGATGGCGATCATGTTCGGTAGATGTCGATTGTGTTCGCCAGGTGTCGAATATGTTCGCTAGGTGTCGAGTTTGTTCGATAATGAGGCGAACTGGTTCGGTTCATGACAGTCTGTAAACGCAGATATGTGACTGTGGACGCAAATATGTGACTGTAGACAAGCATGTGTGATTGCAGACGCAATGATGCGTCTCAGGTTGCACAAATATGTCTGCAGACGCAGATTCAGGACTGTGGTTGCACACCTGTGTTTTTTGTCACAAGTTGTGATTGCAGTCACACCTTTACAGCATCTGTCAAGAGCATCAAGCAAACAGCTACACCATCAGCTTAGGGTGATATCCCATCAGAACATATCATGTATATATATCCCTCTTGACTCACAAACCTGGTTCTAGGTTGCTCAAAACTCGATGGAGAGGTCTCTTCATAATTTAGAGTGTTGTACATATACATTTGGTCACTTCAGCTGCCATGTTATTCTCTTTCTTCATGAGGTGGCAATCGAGCGACCAATGAGTGTTGTAGACGAGACATGTTCCAATTTTTCACACGGATTCAACCAAAGATCTGCACCCAATTCTGGCTGTTGCAGCATGTGAGATGGGACTCAACTTGGGTTCAAGTGGTGTCAGTGAGAATTGCAAAAATGTAGATATACAGATATTGGTGACCCAGCCCAGTTCCTTGTCATCAATCACCTATCACTAGGAATCACTCCCCTTCTGATCAGCCATGTGGTAGATGTTTGTGGCAACAAGATGGCAGATGAACGAGACACTCAACTCCCTTTTATGTTTTGCACTAGATCATCGTGAGATGCTACGACTTGGTCATTGTTGAAGCCTGGCATGAATGGTACAACATGGCAGATGACAACAGCGTCAGAGAGGAATACATATTACAAAGTCCCATCACATCTTGCACAACCTGTAGTGACAAGTTTGAGAGCTACTGTTAGAACAGGCTATCGAAATCAGTTAGATTACATTTCCCATTGCATCTCACCTGGATCCAACAATGATGTTTGAGCAAGTAGCCAAATGGTTCATGATCCATCAAGGTTGGCTATACGTTATTTTAGCTTGGGCTGATCTTGATGTGTTCTCATGTTGCACACTCACAGCCTACCCCCTGAATCCTCAACAACAGTTGCTGATCATTGATACTAAGAGAGCTTGTAGGTTGTTTATCTATCCCATAGGTTCAGTGGAACTTTTTACAATCATTTAGTCAGATGATAGTTAGCCTTTTCTTTGCACTGAACAACAAGCTTTGTTGTGAAGTAACAACTAGATCCACCAAGGTTGGGTACCTGATGTACCTAGGCAATAGTAATGGCGTGTTACTAGTGCTGATCTTGTCTTGTTGTGAAGATTAACCAATGTTGCTTGCATAAAAGTAAAGGAGTACATGAGGGGGAAAGAGAAATCAGGCCAAAATGGCCTGCTATATATACCTTTCTGTAAAAGGAACGTGGCAGGTTTTGCCACCACGAAGAGGGTTTCGAGTTGTGTCCTGTTACGTCGAGTTGCCTTATTGCAAGGCAGGAAAGGGAGAGGGCAAGTGCCCAGGTGTGTATCCTTAGGGGTTAGAACACTTTTATGTGTAATGAAAGTGGATTAGACAACGTCCAGTGTAAGCCAACAACATGATCACATGAATGATCTGGGGCAATGCAAAGCAGAATGCCCTGGTATGCAGGAAGTCACCCATCCCTGATGTATACAAGTCAATTAATGATTAGCAGAATAGAAAGCTCTGTTTCTGCTCTGACCAGGCAACAAATGTCCCTGGTTTGCCATGCTATCACACCAACAGATGTTGCAGAGCGCAGACTGCAGGGTAGGGTGCCAGATTTAAGATACTGGAGAATACAAAGACTTTTTGCTTTCCCAAGACATTGACTACAGCTTAGCTTAAGCATGACCATGAGCATTATTTTGAGACTTGACAGGATCAATCATCCCTTATTGCAAACAACACTGAATGCAGCTGACTGCAGATTGTTCGGAGTGCAAGTGTATGTAGATCTTGTAGCATACATGATGCCTGTGCAACACCCTGTGGGAACGTCTGTATTTGTCGTTCCTGGACTATTTCCTTGAGACGCACGCATGCATAGATATTGGCACCAAATTAGATGTAACCCTCATCAAGGCTCAATAACACAGATCTGTCCCGAACGATGATACATGGGCGGAGGCCTCCTCTAGCAAAGTTGCCAAAAATTTGAGTGGCAGCCCAACCGGTGTTCTTGTCCAAAGCGTTGCAATGGGGAGCTACATTTGAGATTGGTGACGACAACCATCAAGCAGAACACATTGTCCTTGAGACAGAAAGCTCTGAGATCCCATTGCAGGCGGATCACCCGATCATAGACCTTTTTGTAAGAGGCGTGTTCAACCGGGTACAGTAAATTGAGTAGTGCAGAAGAATCTGCGACCTTGCGATGTTGGGAAGCGGCAACCTGTTCACTGAATGTCCTCTTGTCAATCATGGTGCCGGACGCGACAATGTTTTCCTGGTAGCCCTCCTCTCGCTGGACGATGTAGTACAAACAATCAAATTGGCCCTGAGGGAAATTGTCTTGTCTCTTTGCACGGCGGCGGTGTCGGCAGTCTTTGGAAGAAGTGATGACAGAGACAATCGGTTTAACAGTTTTCCGGTTGGTATGGGCATACAGTTCTTTTAACAGCGTAAGGAAAGGACACGACAATAGGGGGCCTGTGTCAGTCCTTGTCTTGGCCTTGCAATGGTCTTGCAAACTCACTTCAGACTCTCTCAAAAGCCTGAACGCTCTGCTCATCCCCCTGACCTTTATCAATGGCACGGTGATCACATCCTTCTTGATGAAATAGAGCATGGCTTTCCTGTCTGACGTCAAAGCCTGGCAGCTCTCTCTGACTGTGTCGTAGTCCTTTTCCGCCCGCTCCAACTGCTTGTCAGATCTTCCACTGACAATGCGGGTAGAGCCGTTGTTCAGCACTTCCTTTCAGTCAAAATCGGCTCGGTAGGTCTTCCTCTCCATCATTCGGCGGAGATGTTCGAGTTGTTGTGGATGCAGAGAGGGGGAATTGTGTCGCTCATGGAGAGAGTTAGTATAGCAATGGCGATCGGCAAGGCGCTGCTCTCAACTACTTTGCTACTGTTTCTGGATTTGCTGACCCAGTCGCAAGATCGATGTCCAATGTTGTTGATCACGACGATCTGGGTTGCTCTTTCTCGTTGGCTGCCGTTCACAGGAATCCAGTCAATGCCAGGACAACAACAATACAGAATCGCATCGACCACGCAATGTAGAAAGCGTATCTTGTGAAGCGAGAGAATAAACGAAAGGCCCGTCAATCAACAAATGATCAACGATTGTCAATCAATCATAGATTATCAAACCTTCCAACACGCGATTCTCTTCTTGCTACACGATAATATCCCCCTTGCCTATTCAGAAAATCAGATACCTAAAAAAGCAGCAATTGCCCACCCAATCCATCCCCTTTGGGGTTGTGGCGGCGTCAGTCGGCTTAGTGTTGATGATTGAAGAAGTTCTGCGGTCAGTGAAGGCAATTGATTGCCCATCAGAATCCTTCCGAATTGTGGCACTGGCAGGTCGGCTTGATCTGACCAAAAACGGCCAAATCTTTACAAGGACTGTTTGTTGATGAACCCTATGATTTGGTGGAATTGACTTCAGTCCCAGCGATGCGCACCATCCTCTTGATTTGAGGCGGCTTTGCAAGTACAAGCAGGGGACCTTTCCAACATTCAACGTCGCATTTAACCCAATTATGATTTGCGTTACAAGCATGGGAATCAGTTGCTACTCATCTAACATCAAACCGTCTGAAGTACGATGAGATGGGAACGCCATTACTGATTCGGTCAGACTCGGTGTGAATCGCATCCTCACTTCTGGGGTGACATAGAGGGCGGAAAGACCGGCCTGGATGGGGATCTTGGTGTATACTCAGGCGGAGTCTATGCTCAGGCATGATCCACGCTTGATCATCCTCGCTGCATCGCACGAATATGTATACAGGCATCTATCACGCTTCAATGACATGTTCGACAATGGAAAGTACTTGGCCGTCCCAAATTGTATCATAACCTTGACATTGTGATCAGACCAAGATTGGCTCCCCGCTCTGCTCATCAAACTCGACAACCTTTCCTTCTCTGAAAGACCATGTCAGGGCTACGGCAATCTGAGCGGCTTGCATCGCGTCGTCGACCGTCGTCGGCACAGCTAAACATGAACGATAGGACGTCGAAGCCGATGAGTTATCGTCATTACACATGAGGTGCTACGGGGACCTCGGGGAACTCACGTAGGTCGTTCCGGCAACACGCAACAAACTCGTTCATCTCCGTCACAAACGCTTCACGAAAGCGTTCGTAGTAGGTCGGGCTGTCCGTATGCGAAGATGTGTGCATGAGCTCGAGGACGACCCAGGATATAGAGAGTGAGCGAAAGAGATAGGCGACTTACGTGGACTCGGTTCGTACTCCATGAGCGTCCCTGATTTCCAGCCGATTGATCTGTGGGTTCTGATAACGGGAAATGGTCAATCGCTGCGTTCTCCGAAGAGTCAGGTGAGACAAGGTCTTACCCCGTTGACGATCATTTTGCCCTCAGTCCCAAAAATCTCGGCGAAACAATCGTGTCCGTGTATAGCCGTCCTGCTCAGATGAAACGTGACCCTCTGTCCTCCCCTGAAGTCGATAATTGCGAGCGCATTATCCGCATCTCCGTCCTTTTCCAGCTCGGGATGTCGAACGTTCTGTCCAGTCGCGAATACACGCTTGACCGCACAATCTGAACCGGGAGTCGATAGTAGCCAGCGGGCCATGTCGATGTCATGGATACCGCAGTCGATGAAGATGCCCCCGGAGGCCTTGGAATAGGCCACGAAGAACCCTAGCGATCGACGATTGGTAAGGGAGAATGTCAGCTTGATATTCAAATCCAGGATCGATGTATATCGCTCACCGGAAGGATCGTACTGATCACAAGTAGCAGACTTGATCATATGAGGCACTCCGAGCAGACCTTGGTCGATCCTGCTTTTCGCTTCGCGGTAGGATTCGTCAACTGCAGGTGTCCAGCAAATCAGCTACGTGTCTCGAGGTCCAGTTATTATGCGACGCATCCAACTCACATCGACGAGAGAATCCAATCATGACCTTGACATGGGGATTGGCCTTCGCGGCCGCAACAAGCGGCTTGGAAAGATTCACATCGACGGATATGGGCTTTTCGCAAAGCACGTGCTGAGGAGGAGAGACCGGGTAGGTCAGATCAAGTATTGTTGAAAGGGGTGTACTTTGTACGTACGATACCTGACTGAACGGCTTGGACCGCCAGACCAACGTGAGTCGATGTCTCGGTCGCAATGACCACTCCCTGCAGACCCGCATGATCGAAACAGGCGCTCGGCTCCGTGTAGCATCTGATGGGACGATCAATCGTATCAGCTGGCGTTCCTCATATCGGGGAGGGAGATCGTCGAGAACAACTGCTTACTGAATACCAGCCGGCAGATTGTCTTTGACCCACTTGGATGCCGAGGGATTCACATCGCAAACGGCGACGAGTTCTGCATCAGGAGTAAAGTACGCAACCTGTACAAGCCGCACATGACAATGCAATCGATGTCAGATACACGGATCTCGTCTGGCGATTCCGGTCAAAAACTCACGTTACGTGCGTGCCGTTTACCCATTCGACCGATACCGAAGACGGCAATTTTCATGCGAGAACGGCTGGAGTCGTGGCTGAGAACGGGGACGGTCATGCTGGGAATCGAGCTTAGGCTTTGGGGTTTCGAGAGTTGAGGGTATCTCTAAGAGGTGGATGGTCGTTGCTTCTGAAGGCCAGAGGTGGCCATCCGGTCCTTGATTCCTCACATTGGCAAGCTCTATATGTATATACCTCTGGTCAATTGGCGGCTTTACCAATCTCGAGTCTAGCTAGCCTTTCTTCTGGCTTCCAGGTGGCATCTGTTCGAACTCCCCGCAAACACGACCGCTTCGTTTCTTGAGTCGGTCTTTAGGGTTTTAGGGGTTTAGGGTCTATTGCTAGCGCGCAAGCAACGCCTTCCATTCGTCATCGCTTCGACTTCGGTCCGGTTCACATACCCTCGGCAGCGACAGCGATCGCAAAAACCGCCCGATCACGAAGTGATGGATAGCAACGGGTTTTTAGAATTCGCCGGTAGATCGCCGGAAATGGGGCTCCGAACACAGACGATTTCTCACATATAGCACGATGAAACAGTAGCAATCACAATTGTTCGCTGGACCGCGAATTACTAAGCGTGGATCACAGGTGTCACATAGCTTAACCTTCGTCGCGCATCGATGACAAGTACCGACTCAACCAAATCTCAACATGCCTCGGATCGGCAAGATATCCGCTCTATCGAAGACTTCGGCCTGGTGCGTCACCCCGACACTCAAGGCTATGTGGACGACAGCGAAGCTTTGAGCCGAGCGTTCGGAGGCACGGGTTTAGGTGACATATTTGCAAACCGCTTCATCGTCACTTGCGTCTTGGCGGCTTGTACAGGGGGTGTAAGTGATCTATACCGCTCTGTTGTATGCCTTGCCGATCATCAAGCTGAAATCTGGCGTCCGCGCAGTTGCTCTTTGGTAAAGTTACCGAAGCGCAAGCTGGGCCGAGCCATTCACTGAGTTGCTAAAATTTGTCACTTATCGTCCAGGTTTCGATCAGGGTATCCTCTCCGTCGTCTACGTCATGCCCCGTTTCTTGGACCAATTCCCAGAAGTAAATGATTCGGTCTCTACAGCGGCGAGCTTTAACAAGGGGTGAGTGAGCCATGTAGCCTGAAGACACCATCGGCGCCCGCAGCTCATCTTGTCGACGCAACAGTCTGATGACGGGAATGCTAGAGATGGGTGCCTTTCTAGGAGCGCTGATGGCTGGATTCGTCGCCGACAAGTATTCTCGAAAAGCATCCATCCTCTTCGGTCTGATCTGGTTCGTGCTGGGTTCTACCGTGCAGACGGCTTCCTTCAACTACGCAACCCTTGTGGCCGGAAGGACTCTCGGTGGTGTCGGTATTGGAATCCTCTCGTCCACGGCCCCGATGTATATATCCGAGGCAAGTGAGGTTTCGCTGGACGCAGCTCAAAAGGATCGCATGCTGATCGTCCCTCTTGACGAGGAGGAAACAGGTTGCACCCCCAAACGTTCGAGGCGCTCTGCTCGCTATGGAACAGTTCACCATTGTCCTTGGCATCATCGTCATGTTCTACATCGTAAGTCTACTTGGCAAAGTACCCTCCCGAGCTCGGCAAACCACTTACTTGCCCGTCGTTACAGACTTATGCTACCAGGCATATCGCTAGCGATTGGTGTTACCGTCTTCCCTTCTTGTTGCAGATGGTACCGAGTCAGTCCCATGCAGCGAACGTGACTCTTATTGCCGATCGTCCCTAATCTGAAGTGTTTGCAGGCATCTTCCTCGGCGGGTCGCTCTACTTCCTGCCGTACTCGCCTAGATGGCTCGCTAGTAAAGGTAGAGAGGAAGAATGTCTCGACGCCCTTTGCAAACTCCGACAACTGCCGTCGTCGGATCCTCGAATTCAAGCAGAGTGGATCTTGATACGGGGAGAGGCCATTCATAATCGCGAGGCCCTGCTCATCCGACATCCCAACATGCGAGGCGAGGGTTTCAAGATGGAACTCCAGCGGGAAATAGCCAGTTGGGTCGATATGTTTCGTCCCGAAGTCATTCGAAGGACGCACATTGGAATCGGTCTCATGTTGTGCGTATCCACTCGGCTGTGTTCAGTACAAGCTGTACGCTGAACACGTACTTTCCGTAGCTTTCAACAGTTTGTCGGGATCAACGCTGTACGTCTGGCACCTCCACGTTGCTGCTTGATTGACTCCTGGCTGACGATTCCTTCACGCGCAGTTGATTTACTATAGCCCCTCTCTCTTCGAGACCTTGGGATTGGATTACGAGCTGCGCCTCACCCTTTCCGGCGTCATGAACGTGGTGCAGATTGCGGGAGTGATTCCCGCCATCTTCTTGCTGGATAAGCTTGGGAGGAAGTTCTGGCTGTATTTCGGATCATTTGGGATGATGTCCTCTCATTTCATCGTTGCGGCCATGGTTGGTGAGTTCAGTGGCGAGAGCCAGAGATAGATTTTCGACCGCTGAGACGATGCGTTACGATGACCTAAAGCGCGATACTCGGCTAATTGGGCCGATCATCCCGCTCAAGCTTGGGTCGGAGTCGCCTTTATACTCTTCTATATCTGGTGTTTCGGTACGTCGGCTCGTCGTCTTGTTGACTATCCACGGCCTTGAACATTCGAGCTGATAGAATCCCGCTATTGAGGTATCTCTTGGGGGTTCGTTTCCATGAATGGGGACGTCCGAGATCGAAAACTGATGATTACGCCCTCACAGTCCTGTTCCATGGAGCATGCCAGCAGAGGTTCACGGTAAGTCATCGTCCCACATCGTCATCACGATACTTGGTTCTCGAGCCTTGACATTCCATTGGCTTCTTTACAGCTTCAAGCTATCGTGCCAAAGGTGTGGCGCTGGCCACATGCAGCAATTGGATCAATAATTTCATCATCGTGAGCGGGATACGCTGATCCGAGCTACCGCTCCTATAGCGCTGACTCGTCTGCTTTGTAGGGCTTGGTGACACCGCCGATGATCAGAAATATAGGATACGGTACGTTCCTCTTCTTCGGAAGTTTCTCCTTTTTGTCCGCTGTATGGACCTACTTTTTCATCCCCGAGACCAAGTATGTCGTATGCGCTTGATGATTGTCGCAGTCAAGCCGGAGAGCTGATACGAGCGAGATTCCGCCGCATAGGGGCAAGACGTTGGAGCAGATGGACGCTGCGTTCAAGACAGATCAATCCGCTAAAGACGCCGTCGCCAAAGCCGAAATCTCCCAACTGCTTTGTCCCGCGGGTTCCGGCTCGAGTGATGATCCCGCCAGAGTGGACGAGAAGCGATACGACAAAGGAGGATTCGAGCAAGAGTGGCAGGAGACCGTGATCTGATGTCTTCGCTATCCGAGGATCATCACAGCTGTAAGCCTGGTCGGAAGCTCCTAAGTCCAGGCAGCTTGTGTGACAGAGATAGCCTGGAGGGTTTGTGATAGCTGCCCGACCGTTCCTGAGGTTTCCGTCCGTTCTCTTGACCGTAGAAGTCCCCGCCGACTTCCAAGAAAGTCTTGTATTGTTGTATCGGGTTCCGAAATATGACATTTTATGACGGTCGCATTCGCTCTCGGGGATTGTCGATTCGATGAGGCTTTCTCTGAGATCGCCCGATGCCTGAGGTCCCGGTTCCGGCAAAGAGTTGGGTTTCTCCTTTGACTTTGTTTCGCCTTGATGTGCTCAACCTGGCCTTGCTATGGAAGGAGAAGGCGCTCGACTCGGTCCAAGGGATTCGACTCCCGAGGGTATCATCTGTACGAACTGTACTTTGCAATACTGATTCGTCGGGCATTTGGGTGAACAGATTAGCAACCAAGCCTGCTCCAGCGCCCTTCGTACAGACGCGCGCTCCGGAATTCCGGCTTACCATTTCCCACCAATTACGCACGTCGCCTTGTGTGAGGTCCGTTTCGTGCGATATATTGTTGAAAAGCACCAGGATGATTGATATGACTTTACTTCGCTAACAATTGTGCCGGAACGGGGTCGTCAGTATTAGGTCTAAAATCTTGCTAGGCACGTGACCAAATTCTCACCATGCTTTCTCCGTTCGATGCCAATTGCGTAGCAGATATGCTGCGAATCGTACCTTGATGAGCGACCACATTATGGTAGGTCTATCCGGGGCGTGGACTGACCTGGAAAGCTGGCGATACGTCTCTCTTGCGACCCGATGTCTCTCGGCGATGCGACTGGACTGCGGTCGAGCGCTGGCTTGATAATCGAGCTTGAGATCAAGAACATCGCTTTGTTGAGCCCATGGTCTCTCTTCTTCTCTCGAACTTCCAAGCGACTTACCAGTGCAAACTCGACGATCGCTGCCGTCACCACAATATTGGCTCTTTGGGTCTGGAATATATCCGGTTGATCTGAGGTAGAACATTGCGCCGGTTCCAGAGCTCTGAGTTTGACTGGCAACTCGCGTTGAAGACAAGAGATCTTATGTCTAGCCTCCTCGGCCCAGTTCCAGCCCTCGTCCAACGTGAGATTCAGTTCACCCTGTGCTGCACATTCCAAGAGTCTACGGCGGAGTAAAGATGTCGACAGGAATCGGAACAGGCGAATATTGTAGACGTATCCGACCATATACGAGAGGCTGGCCAGAGGTTGTGAGACGAATCCTGCAGCTGTGATGAATTCGTCGTCGGTTTCGAGCGGGTATGGCGGCACGCCCTCGTGATCGTGCATCAGGATGGGGCTGCCCATCGCCGCGTCGGTCCTATCGGTTGAATGTGGGCGAAACGCCGATCAATCAAGGGAACGCACAACCAATGCAAGAGGGTGGTTCGAGTCTACTTACTTTTCGTGGCAGTACAGATGCCAGAATATCCTCCGCTTCAATTCAGCATCGATAAGATTGTCCGTCGAATCGACAACATTATAGCCCAGCGTGTACACGAGGCGAGTGGCCGTTCCCATCAGCGCATCTCGAAATCGAGTACGGTTAGTGGCGGCACAGTGATAGGTATCCCTAGATATGTGAGGGAAAACAAGAGGGGGTCAACAGCGTACTTAAGTCAGCGTAAAGACGCAGCCTCTGATTATGGAGTGGGTTCTCATGCTTACGCGATCATCGTCACCACGATATTCATATTCGGTTCCTCCAGGTGGCGTACCTGAATCGCCCTAGATGCGGTATGGCATTTGTTCTGTAACTTCTCGAGTTGTCTTTGGGAAAAAGGAGGATCCATAAGGTGCAGTGGGACTTGGCAGATCGTGTAGGCGGCTAGATGTCGAAGAGGAGGTGAATGCGTCGTCCCGCAAAACGCGAGTAAAGAGTCAATTGATCGTCCTCAAGGTCAGCGCTCCTGGTTGAGCCGTACAATCGACCAACAATCGCCTCGAGCCACTCACTCAAGCTCAACAACAGCGCTCTGAAAGTTTCGTCGCTTCGATCTTTCCTCAAGACGATATCGTTTGTGAAAGTCGGTTTGTGTACCAACGGCATGAGAGCGTGTTGATACCGGAGGTAGAGTCCGATGAAGTAGGAAATGTCGCACCACGGAGCGATCTCTTCGATTTGGGGTGATGCATTCTTCTTTGCAAGAGGTGCTTGGTGGAGCCCTTCGACCGGATTCGAGTAATCCCGATGCTGAAGCCGATCTTCCTCATCTCCTTGAAGGGAGTCGTGACCAAGAGATCCGTGATTGACAGGGGCATTGTCCCCGATACAAGAAGCCGTCGAGCTTTGGGCTAGCATATCTGACGGTCCGATATACCCCGAGAACAGATCGTCGTCATGTAGTGGAGGTGGATATGGTGGATCTTTTGACGCATACGGCCGGATCGATGCTGAAGGTGATCCCGTGTTCTGGTTCGGGAATTGAAGTCCGGATTGTGACGATAGCGATTGATGGAAGGAAGGAACGATTGAGTTCCTAGCATTCCTGACCGGCGAATCTTCATGGTCCGTGTAGCCATTTGAAACACCACCGAAGTCTGGCGGCAAGTAGGTGGAACTCCTTGCAGGAGGTGGGGGCACTTGGTCGTCGTCGTCGCTTCGGCGATCATTTTCCAAGACTGACGCCGTCGCCTTTGACGTGTCGATATCATGATTCGTTTCCCTTCTCTCCCTGCCAACAGCCAAATCAAGATTGATAGCTGATGTGTCCGTGGCATCGGTTCCATAGGTCGAGGAACGAGAGCTTTGTCGTTCGGGCAAAGGTGCAGGGTAAGGTCGAGCCTGTTGGATGGCCACCTTGGTGTTTCCGCTATACGGTTAGTTATCGGAACGGCCGAGCAACCCAAACAATCTGGGGGTCAGCGTTTGATCTCGTAAGGAAAGAGAAGGAACAAGTGCTCTCGTGAGCTCACCCTTTCTTCCTTCCTCGGGTTTGCAGGACGTAGTCGAACCTGCATGGAATCTTGCATCGAGCACACACCCTACAGGACCTCGAAGTAGAGCCGGCTGCAAAATCGTCCGTTATACACCTAATCTGGAGTGTCAAAATCAGAGAAAGACGATCAGTGTGAGAGATCGGATGGCCATCCGGGGGTGACTTACCTTGCGTGCCCTACATTCGTCACACGTCCTTGTTTTCGACGACGACGACAACGACGACGACATGACCGTTGTCCCCCTGATCTGGGTTGAATGAGGCTAGGTTGATTAAGAGTCTGCGCACATCAGGACTCCTAGCTGTGCCTGGATTGTTTGATGTGGTTGCTACTGCGTGTGCCCATGGGCACAAAGCCTTTCTATACCGGCTTTACCTTCAATTTCGGAGTTGTTGATCCGCTGGTTTCAGGTCCGAGAAGAGTCGAAAACGCGAGTTCTTTCTAGCGTTTTACATGGATTATTTAGCGATGCCAGTGTCAAACACAATGACAGTCAACCCCCCGATATCGAGACACAGCAATACTGAGATTTCTGTGTTATTGAGACACTCTTCTGGAATTTGTACTGTGCCCTTTGAGGGGTTTACTATATTACTATGAAATGCGACCCTGAAATTGAGACAGTTTTTGTGCAAGAATGGGCGCGTCCAAATCGTTGGAGACCAATCCGAGGTGATCGACAGGGCTGTGGGACAGTTGCTTTCATGAGTATTATGTGATGCATGACCTCCAGTATGCATTGCCGTGGAGACTTGTACAGAGACCCTTTACAAGATGTTTTTGGAGACAACTAACCACAGTTGTACCCCTGCAAATGAGAAGGGCTTCAGCGCTTTTTCTGCTAGCGCTTTCCTTCTCATTTGCACAGGTTTCTGATTGTTGTAGGTCAATTTGCTAGTAAACTGGGAATTGGGAGCATATTTATTTTCGGAAAACCTTCTCAAAATCACAGGTTTCTCATTTCTAGGGTGTCTCTTTTGCGGGGGGACGACTGTAGTCCTTTGTAGTAGTTTCACATCCATTATCACATTACTATGCCTACTGTGATCACCCTTCCGTCCTGCGCCCTTATCCCACAGAGACCTGCAAGCGGGTTGCTGGGCCTTATAATTGTTTCGCCTGAAACGGCAAGCATGCACTTGACCACAAACTTCCCAAGTCTTGAGGCCGTATCCTATCCGTCTGCCCCGACTCCAGCCCTCTCGTGATCCAGCTGACATACAACGTCTCCCAGCGGAAAGTTGCAAGCTGAGTGCATCAAGTGCTCGATCTTCTGAACTTGTTGCACTCAAAAACCCCAGGCATCTGTTTGATAAAGTTGTGCGCCAGGAATCTGTCCAGGCCTTCTGCAACTGCAGCAACTACATCTGCCGTTTTGTTATACCGCCTCTTCAGTCCCTTTATCCACCGCTGAGCCACCGGAGCCCTCTTCATTTTTGAAAATCCTGACAGGTGTTGCTGCAAGATTACATTCTGGTGACCGCTGGCCTGTCTGTTGGCTCTAGCAATGTCAATCAGTCCAGTGCGCAAGATTGATTGCGGCGTAACCATAGATATACGTCCAATGTCTCTTCGATAGTCTGCAACTCGGTCGTAGCCCCTTTGGTGATATAGCAGACTCAGCATGCAAGGAGGGTTGCCATCATGTCTTACCGTGTATCATGCTGCCAGCGCCGAGCTGTGTCGAATGCTTGATGGAATGGCTGCTGTGCGAATGCATTGTGCTAAACCGGTTAGGGGTTACCTGATCCCGTTTTGTCAGCTACGTCTCATCGCATACGGACATGACATGGGATCGCATGCTTGTATGCTCTGCCAGCCTTACAGGACTAAGAGATTTGAGTCTAGGATTTGTTGTACACATGGCCATCTCAAGCACAAAATGGCTACGATGTACGAGATGCTCATCGGGGAGCTCGGTGAGGCCGAGCTTTGTCCATCATCTTTTTGCACGGAACCAATCCGTATCAAAAGATACTCATTGCCAATGTTATTCATCTGGGTCAGGGTTGCTCGAAGTCGTCGCCATCGTGGAAGGATAAAGGCAACAGTGGTGGACTCCTTGCTTGATACGATCCAGGCACGAAGTGAAGAGAATCAAAAAGCAATAGGTTGTAGTTTCTTTGACAGCGGGTGCTATTAGAACGTATCGTCCTAGCAAAAGTCCAGATAACTCTTGAGATATAGCATAATAATTAAGTCCAGCAATGATTCAATGATCTCCATGTTCTCATCACACAGGCCGTGAGTTGAGGATTTACTTCAAGCTGACTACGGTCATTTGGGTGCACTGTTACGTTCTACACATTGCGCACGTTCGCCAATTTAACCCCGAAGAGGCTCATCGTGCGAAACCCTTGTCAAAAGCTTCATAGATGCGTGAGATGATTAGTTTTCACGCAGACTTTGTCTAGTGAAGACCGGTCAGCCACTGGAAGATGTTCGTTTACACGAATTGCAGCTGAAACGGCGCATGTTTCAGCGTGTCAAGCGCGAATGTCTGTCCCTATTGACAGCAGGTCAGGTTCTTCAAAATCAGTCTGTGGCAACATAGCTTATGATACGTCTTCGAGAACAACCTAATTTCAGGGGTCTGAGGCCAAGATGTCCGAGAATCTCACCTTACTCCCTGGTCCGCCACCCCAAGGACGCATTGGTCAAGGTCCTGCACACAATCAAAAGTCCAGGTTGAATGGAACTCAAAAGACAAACAATGGGCCGCCTGGCTGGCCCATTATAGTAGACGCAGCGTGCTAACATCACCCCCTGCGAATCGTCACTTCCTAGGCGAGCTGTTTGTTCAGCTGAGGACGCTGTTCGGGAATTGCTGCTAAGCGCGCCAAGCCCACCTACGCCATCGTCTCCCATCGGTGAAACGCCACAATTCTCTCGGGGTAGAATCGCAACGCGTACAAGTGTCTTGCGAGATTGAGAGCCGTATCAAGCAGTACTGGATCCTCAATGAATAGACGCCGACGGATCCGAGTGTATTGTACAACAATGAGCGTACGCCGCCAGGTTCTATGTCCCACATGCCCCACCGTAGTCAATCGCGGTCAGACCGTATTGATTCTAAATCACATAGGGCAATATTACAAGCCGACCTGAGCGTGTTCGAACTTGCACTTCTCCTCTAATTTACATCCTGCCTCGGTAGCCCAAAACGCACACGTCTTCTTGGGCTGAGCCGGCTTATCTTCCATGTAATGGGCGAAGTGACATTGATCGCCGGCGACGCATGTACCGGTTTGGAAGTGCTGGATAGAGAGGTAGGCAAAGATTCAGCTTGTCATCCTGCGAGAGAAGTAACAGGGTCGGCGACTTACACGACAAGGCCGAGCTACGGAGATCAAGAAAGAAGTCATCTCGTTAGTCAACACGGCGCAAAATCGATGTCGACTATCACTCACTCCTCCAGGGTCTAGGCCGGACCGCTAACGGTGCCCCGAAGGGTACAACTCGAATGTGTAAGAACGGGCAAGCCTGAGCTCTGCATCCTTCGCTCGTGTTGAAAAACTGTTTGTACGTAGACAAGCGGGTTAGGGGCCGAGATTCAGGAATTACAGTGGCGAAGACGTACTTTGCAAGGCAATTCTGACAAGCGAGAACGACGTAATCGCCCAGAGGTCAGTAACATAGCGCTGACTTGTTGCTCGGAGGCACTCACTATTGACCGACTTTTCGTCTTTAGGTTCGGGCGCAGGGAGACCCTTGTTGGACGGATCGTGCAGGCTGCGACGGAGTCGGACGAGAAACGTCTGAAATCAGTCGCCGAGAATGCCAGGAAAACGCGATTCCGTCATACTGACTATGAGCATGAATCGCCCCTGGGGCAGTCGCCCGAAGCGTAAAACTTGCACGGTTTGGCTGTACGCAGTCCAGGATGTCAGCTTTACGAACTCAGACCGTCGACCGATGACGCCAACCGGACTCACTCCGGTAGTTCATCTTGGCCTGAACCTCTTGCGGCGGCAACTTTCCACCCTTGACCATCCTAGCCAGCTTCTGCGCGACGAGCTTTCTGGCTTCTTGTTCCAAATCCTTGCCTTGCGGGCCGACCTTGCTCGGGTCCTTGAGGATGGCGTCCCAAGTCGCGCTCACAGCTTGCGGGTAGAGACGTTCGATGGGCCAGGGGTAAGCGCCAAAGTCATGGACGGGTTGGATATAAGGCGGGAGGACGAGGTGAGGCTCGTTGGCGTAATCCGTACGGACCGCATCGTTCGAAGGTTCGTGGATGCGGATGTGATCGGTGGGCTGTTCAGGACGAGACGGTTCGACCGCTTCTTCCGGTCCATCCGAGTCGCTCGCCCTGGCTTCCGCTTCCTCGGCATCGTCATCGACGTGGTGATACGGGGTACCAGGCGAGTCGGTGGAAAAGGTATACGCAGAGATCGGCAGGTCGGGCGAAACGCCCTGGACGGCGCTGTTGGGAGCCAGCATACGGGGCGGACCGAGCTGCCAGGCCGACCTTGGTGGGATCGAAGCGTATTGCGTAGCCGGGGAAGGTGCTTCATCGGAGACCCTCAACCCTTCAAGCTTGGTAGAAAGAGACTCGGAGATGGTCTCTACGAGCTTGCCAGCGATATCTCGGAAGTCGGGTTTGGTACCTGTGGCGGGGTTGCTGACCGTAAGACCATCGTCACGGGTCCAACGAAGGTCGGGGACGATGATGTTGGACCCGTTGAATGATTTCGGGCGAGATCCGTTAAGCGAGGTAGAGGAGTTTTCCGTAGTCAATCCTGGTCTTTCCGCAAGCTTGAGGCTCGACTTGTTCTCTCCATCTTCCGCAGGTGCAGGCTTGACGTCGTGCAAGAACGAGCAAAACTCGCCATAAGGACATTCGCCCTTGGCCTCCCAGTCGCGGCATTTGACGGTGCGGTACTTTTCCTTGCTGTGCTTCGAGCCCGGTCCGGATCCTCCCCCACTCATGGGAAACTGTTCTACCAGTTCAACCACGTCGGTGGATCCGCCGATGGCCTTTGCGAACGAGGCCGTTTGAGGAGTGGGGATGGGCGAGCTTGGGTCGAACTCGTGGACGAAACGGCAAGGTCGAGAGGTGCATGTCAAACCGGGTGTATGGTAGAACTTGCAGAGGATGACTGTGAAGCAGGCGTATAGACTGTTTGTTAGCAAACGGAGCAAGCATACAGTAACAAGGGAAAGAATTCGCTACTCACTGTCTTTCCTGACTTCGGCATCAGGTTCGGTAGTCTCGGCACCAGCCATCCTCATCGCCTTTTCCATCTCGTTACGGAGATAATCCACCTCGACGGTTCTGCTAGTTCTCAACCCAGAAGTCTTGAGAGGCGAGCCAAGTCCTCGTTCCTCGGCAGACTTGGCTGAGGCGGCAGAGACAGCGTGCGAGGATCCAGTCTTCGGAGATGGAGACGCATCGTTGCCGGCCTGCGGGCTGAGAGGCAAGGTGGTTCGAACGGTGACGGTACTGATACCTCGCTGTTGAGCAAAGTTGGCGGCGGCAGACTTGGGAGGAGGCAGATGACTGTTCGAATTGCGTTTCCTTCGAGCTTCACTGCCGATGATACCTGGAGCACCTGTCAACGGAGCCGGGTCCAGGGAGAGCTTCCTGCGAGCCGAGATGATCCCCGTAGACGTGGCGATGGGTCTTTCAATACCAGACGCTCGAGAGGGAGAGAGCGGGACTTGGATGGGAGAAGGACGAGCCTTTCGACGAGGCGATTCGGTCGTCATGGCGTTTGTTCTCGTTGTTCTTGCGATATGAAGGGAACGATCTTGGCCCTCCGTCGATGGACCACTAGGATATAATCGTCGTTTCGTGCGGCGAAGGACATTCCGACAGGCGAGAAGTAGATCGATAGCGGCTCTATGGGAGGAGTGACGAAGGTATATGAACAGGAAGCGACGTCGGGAGATCACAGAGTTTTCCCAAGAGAAGCGAGCAGGTACCGTAATTCGACTGAGATGGGCGAACAAAAGAGAGGTCGATCAAAGAAGATCGGTGGGTTTCCCTTTGTTCTGCCCTCGAACCGAGGTGTCGAAGCGGAGATTCGTCTTGGGTGCGAGTCCGCTTCGAAACGAGCGCGATGTCGGCCTTGTCCGCTTCGACATACTGCGATATACTTCGAGGCTCTTCGAAGGGGACAGCTCTGGCTTCGACAAATCTGAGACGTGGATCGAGCAGGGATCGAAGTGCCGAAGATCACGGTTCGTGTTACGTCCTTTGGAGTATTAATATTCGGTTTCGTGATCACTCATATTCCCTAATACATATGTCTGTCTGGCTACTACGCTCTCAGCGTTGGCACAACTGGCATCTCGCCCTTGACCACATCATCCGGCTTTTCCTCGTCGTCCTGACTACCATCTCTGACTGAGTCCGCCGGTTCCTGTGTGATGATAGCAGCGATCGATGCGGCGGGACGACGTAAAGAAAGCCATTTGAAAGCCAACGTGAACAAGATACAGGCGATAGCCATTCCCAAGGCGGCCTTGTAGCCGATGGGGTAGAGCGGGGCGTATTTCGCCGGATAGAACACAACTGCAAAGAGATAGGGTCAGTCGCGACATGAAAGTTTGTGGCGCTAGGGAAGTACTAACTGGACATCCAAGCGGACATGGGAAAGACAAACGTGACCGCCAGACCGATCACGATTCCTCGCTCCTCGGGTGTCCTGAAGAATTCTGACATCCATGCCTGCGTCCGAGAAGACGAATCAGTTTCGGTCGAGGTATCGTCCAGTTTGTTTTGCACAACTCACAATGAGTATTGGTCCAACAGCGCACGAGCAGAACAGCAAGAAGAATGCGACCATCTTGGTAGCGAAAGCTTGAGGCCAGACCTACGGGCGTGGAGTCCTGTCGTCAGCATGAGATATCAATCTTACCCCGATGACGGTACCTACTACCAGAATGATGACTCCGATGAGCAAGGACGTCTTCGAAATGGAAAAATGCGAATGATCAACGTCTAGTCTCTTGATGAAAGCGTAATTCGAGCTCCTTGTCTCACCTCTTGAACGAGAATCCAAGTGGTATGCCAACCAGTGACCGAGTGCAAGTACGCAAACATCAACATGGCGACCAGCATCAAGGCATAGGCTGGGATGCTGATAGCGTTGATCTCGGCCACGTCGAAGCGCTTGGTCCCATCGCCGTTCTTGACGGATTTCTATCGGGACGGAGAGAAGAAATGGAGCTGATCGGCATGCATTTCCGCAGAGGTTACGGTGCGAGAGGAAACTCACCAAGAAGAGAATAAACCATCCGTTCGAGTCCTGACTCCAACTCCATGTACTGCGAACTCAGGTATAGTCGAGTTTAGCGCCGCCATTAAGTTGAAAGTCTCCTTCGCAGCGACGGTTCTCACCTGTAGGCAAAGACGAAAGCATACGTGACCGGGTTCTTGAATATGCTCTTGACAAAGGCCCACGAGTAACGCTAGTGATCGTTGAGACGTTAGAGAGTTTTCGATTCTGCTCGCATCTTCGCGATACTCACTGTGGAAGGCAATCGTTCTGCGCGATCCATGCGAGCCCTCGCGATTTTGTTCTCTTGCTCCGACATCCAGAAGATCTTGGTAGTTCCCGGGGCATCGGGAACCTGCATGACGAGCTCGGTCAGTCCCGATGAACAAGCAAAGTTCATTCATATGTATCGACCTCAGACATAGACGTACCATGAGGTAGCCCGCAGCAGCCACGATGAACGTCATGATGGCGTTGAAGATGAAACTGGTAAAGTGGCGAGAAAGACGAGTTTCAGCTAGGCAGCTCGGAGGAAAGCTATAACACACGACCACTCACAGCCAACGCCATCCGGAGAGACCGGATCGTCCATCCAACGTCTTGGACAGACTGGCCTGCATTGCCGAAACGAACATGGCCGAGACAGGGTAGGAAGCGCTGAAGATTACGATCCTCGCTCCGACCTCTCTGGGTGTACTACAGGGGCGATGTCAGCGCCAGCGCTCTTGAGGATAGACCGCGGGCAAGAGAACTCACTACCAGTTGCACAGGATGGAGATGATACCGGGATACGAGCTGGCCTCGAAGACACCGATGAAGAACCTCAGAGCGTACATCATGCGGACGTCGTGAGCGGCGGCCATCAAGGCTGAGAAATGGGGGGATCTGTATCAGCGTTGTATACGATAACAGCGCCCACATAGGAAAAACTCACCTGTCATGAGACCCCAAGCCATCTCCATCGAAGGCAACCACCAGTTCGGCCGAACCTTGGTCAAGATGATCTGACACGGTAGGAGGAAGATGGCGTAACCGATTCGATAGTAGATGTCAAGGAAGTTCAGTTCGTTTCCGGTCATGTTGAGCTACGAGGCAGGAAAGGATAATATCAGTGGACTGAGTTACAGGGCTTGCAAGTCGGTCGAAAAGGCCTACCTCTTCCTTCATTCCAGATGCGTAGGCCGTTTTGTAGTTGGTGCCGTCGATCATCTGTTATAGCAGGTTAGAAACAACGATAGGTTAGCGGTGCGTGTCGATCGAAAAGGGACGCCCGACCTGAACCCACCTTCAAGAGGTAGGCGAAGAATGCCCAAGTCACCAGAATCCAGTCCAGCTTGCGTACGAAGCGTTTCTCTTTTCGCTCATCGACTAGCCCTGCTTCCTCGGAGGACGCATAGTCATGGGTGTCGTCCGCTGGGTGAACCGAGCGTTGCAAGCTGTCGTTCCGTTTGCCGAAGCCGAGCATGTTGAATGGCTCTTGCACAGGCCGACGATGGTGATGTGCAGAGTCATTCTGTACTACGGCGATTTCGTTATCAGATAGCGATCTCCGGGCGGTTACCTCTTATACTACAGGAAGATATCGGACCGTCATCAGATCTTCACAGATTTTTCGTGTGCGACCTCTTCGCTTTCGTTTGGCGGGACCATATTTGCTTCCGTTTCTTTGCCAAGAATGAAAAGCGCTGTTGGTTTCCCGCCTACCTCACCGGGACCTGATCGACCTTCGTCGCTATCTGATTAGCAGCCAATGACGAGTGGACTGTTGTCGGGTGGACAATAGATTAAACTCTCACAGCTTCCATAGAGAGGGAAAGAATTTGGTATTTTAGGGATGGAAGGTTGTCAACTCGCAAGAGATGGAACGATCGGGTCCGGACACGTCCGAAAGGTCGCCGAACCGAAGCGTGCCAAGACCGGTTCGAAGCGCGGTCGCGCTTCTAGCTCTGGTCAGCGATTGCACGCCGAAATGTGGACGACCTCTCGATATCGTTGAATTGGAGCGCTTTCCCAAGAAGGAGATCATGTTTGCTAGACAGGTCCTTCGAATGAATTGTCCTTGGTGTAAGAACCACCTGGAAGTTGATATCATGTAGTGACAGGGAATGCGAGGGAGGCTGGTACGATCCGACCTTTAGCTTGATGGCACGGAGCAATGACGGACCGAAGTCCCAGCGAAGCCCGATCGACCGGCAATTCATATAACCAACAACTGACATGAAGACGTTTCGCTTTGCCCTTTGATTTCGTCCCCACGCTCCTGCAAACTACGCTTACGCAAACCTCGACTGAGCATCTGACCACACAATATCACATCTTCCGAGCCACCAACATGTCCCTCTTCGGCCCGCAACGTCGTATCGTCACGAGCCATGGCCCTGTGCAAGGCGAAACCCAAGAACCGCCTGTGATCGTACATACCGACGAGATCGCTCCACGAGCCGTTCGAACTCCCGAAAACCCAACCGGTCCCGAAGCATGGATTGCCCCTATCTGGACCAACACTCATCCAGCTATCAACACGTACGGGATGGAGAGAGACGAAGCGGACGAGGCTCAAGGCCGATTGGTCATCCCCGGTGGCAGCAATCTGCAGGTGACCGACCTCGCACCGAACGTCGCTGTAGGGATGCATCGAACCCCCTCGATCGACTACAACATTATCGTAAAAGGCGAGGCCACGTTGATTACCCCGGATAGGAACGGCGGTACGGCGGAGACCCTGGCCAAACCAGGAGACGTCGTCGTACAACGGGGGACCTTGCATGCTTGGCGAGCGGGTCCGGAAGGAGTACGGTGGATTTGCGTGTTGATATCTGCCGAGCGTGTCAAGGGAGAGGACGGGAAAGAGTTGCCTGATGTGGCCCTTTAGGCCGGGAGGATCGAAGGGATCTAAGGTATCATAATCATGTTGACCGGCTACGGAGCATGTTGCACGATGCGATGTCATGCATATGGTGGGACGATTCATCACTAACGAGATTCGGTTCTCGGATGTTCCGGATACATCAATGGAATTTCGCAGTCTATCGCGGTGCGATTCAGCGCTGTGAGCAAGCCACATCCTACTCGATTCTCAAAACCTGCTGCATCAAGAGCTCCTGACCGGGCTGCAAGGTGTGGTGACCGTCGACCCGGCCAGGCTCGAGGCAGACGTAACGCTTCTCGCCGCCCTCTTCCATGTCGGCGATCTTGGCAGCACCTTCAGCCGGGTTCCACGTGGTGATGCTGAAGGGCGAAAAGGAAGGTCAAGGTCAGCATATTGAACATAGCTCCTACCACAGGATAATAAAGGTTTCGAAGCTTACTCTGGCATCTCGACCGAGTGCACGGTCAACTTGTCCTGTCCGTCGACGAGGACGATGTCGTCCTTGCCCTTGCCGTAGTAGACTCTGCCATCAATTCGTTAAACGATGTTGTCAGCCTCGGAAAAGAATTCCCTCTTTCAGTGACGTCTTTGACTCACCGGTCAACGGCCTGATCAAACTTGAGATCTCCACCCTCCCAGACCTCCTTCGAGCCGCCCTTGATCTTGTCGACATAGTTCAAGCCGCTTCGGAGTCCCTGGGCCTTGACGGTGCTCGAGTCCGAGACGGCGAGGTAGGTATGGAAGAGAGTCTGGAACCTCAATCCCTTGTCCTGAGGCTTGGACTCCGAGCCGGTAACAGCGGTGGGCAAGGCCGAAGTCACGGCGTCCGAGACGGTTTGAGCAGCGGCGAGGAGAGAGTCCTTGGCGGACGGGTTCACGACGTGGAGGTCGGTCGAGAGTTCGTGCTTGGTCAGGGTAACGACGTAGGACAGGTGGAACGGGTAAGGGAAGATGCTGATGATCGAAGGGGTAGGGTCGAGGGCTAACAGGCGGTGATGAACCGGATGTCAGCTCGAGCGGGGCTGGCTCTACAACTACCAATACTCACTGAACCTGACTGAGACGCCTTCGGGTCGGTCCATGACGACGCTGTCGAGGGTCTATCACAGTCGAACATATAGATACATCGCAATATCAGCTTGTGTTTCAACGTCGAGAGCACAATCCACTTCGCATCTGATCGAACTCACCCAAGTCTGGTTCCTGGCAAACCCATGCTGAGCGAGCTTCGAGTGATAGACCAAGGTCTCGTCGTCGGCAGAAGGAGGAGGACCGAAGTTGGGCTGCAGGGTACCAAGCATTGATATCAGTACAAGGTCCCGATAGTAGAATTAACGGGTCGGAGACGCAACTCACCCAGCAGATGGGGATTCCTCCTCGGATCTTAGGGTTGAGAGGTCAATGAGCAACAAGATGATCATTCTGAGGATCCAACCGACAGGAGGAGTGCGACTCACAGCCTTGGAACCATCAAGAGCGGCCTTGCTGCTCAGAAACAGCCTCTCCTTTCCTCCAGCGATCCACGAAGTCAAGGTAGCGCCGTAGTAGCTACAAAACGGACGATAAGTAATGGTTACCAGCTTGTATTATCGATCTCAAGAAGCAGTGACGAACTAGATCTCGGCAGACTCTCCCTGTATCCACAAGAAAAGGTTAAAGTCCTTCATCAACATCCGGAACGCTACTCGGCCTCATCCACGACCCCAGACTGACCGAAGGAAGCGAAAGCTTGACGATACTGGATCCTTTTTCAACGGGCATGATGTGAGCTTGCTCTCCGAGTGGTTTGGATGCTAAGGTGGTTATCCGAGCGAGATCTGGTTGGTAAGTTTGACCATATAATTATCGCTTTGACGGCCTGCGGCTCGCTGTAATCGAGCTTCCCATTCCTCGATCGATTCCCCCCACGTCATCATCGACTCTCGGATCCGAAGCGTCGATCGAGGCGCGCACTCGCGCTTCTAGATCGTGCGAAGCGGGGCTCACCGGGCATGTCCGAAGGTTCGAAACCGCAGCGACGAAAGTCAATGCAATGCCATCTTTCGCACTCGATACGTGAAGGATCAAGAGAGATCCACCAGTCTTCCGAGCTCCTACTCACCCCAGTCTACGGATGTAACGAAGCGATCATGAAGCGCATTGAAACCTACTGGCTTCAAAACCCGCTGCCTTTCTCGATCGCGAAGCTGGGAAGACCATTCACAGAAGCAGCCAACAACAAACGGATCCTCGCTCTAGCCTACCTGGCTTCGTATCACTCCAGCTCATCCCTCGTGTGTTGCAAGAGTAGGGCGATAGAAAGCCTCGGATCACCTGCCAATTGATCTTTCCCACCACGACCCAAGTCTGTGACGGGTTCGGACAACGCACTCGAGTGTTGCGAAGCAATACCACTTCGAGATCGTCCTAAGAGAAGGGTGATGAACCGAAACCTTTCGAGGGCGATCTGGTAACCGAATGAACTCTCACAAAGTCTCCACCGCACTATCTCAATCGCCCGTTTCATGAGGAATACGATCGCGGCCGTTGACCATCAGAAACTACGCCCGACAACAACGCTAGAAGACGTAGAGGATATCAATATATCAACGATATAAACACAAGATCGACGTGATGGATATCCCGGAATACAAGGACACGCATTCTTCAAACGCTTCGGGCTTCATTCTCAAGCCAACCTATCCTACTCTCCTTGTTGCTCCCTCGCCAACTGCACCGCCGTCTTGGTCTGCGCAAACTTGCGGCACGAGATGCCCCGCTCGAACAGCTCGTCCAACTCGGAACTGGACCTCCCTTTGGTCTGATGGAACGCAAAGTCAGGATCTTTCAAGAATGATTGTAGCGATGGGGACGGACCTCGGGTACATAGAAGTAGGATACGACCACGAAGATGGCGGTCAGACCACCGAAGAAGAAGCCTAATTGGTCGCACGTCATCAGCATCGAGATTGATTCTTTTGGACGAGAGCGACGGACCGATATAAAGACCCCATCCGGCTTGTTGGTCGGACAACATGATCGGTACAGTATAGGACTGCGAGTATGCTCGGTTTATCAGCCAGTGGTCTTTCCGGAGAGTCGTACACGGACTCACAAACACGATCTGAATGAGCGACGAGAGCAGGGTCGCAAACGCCGCTGTCTTGCTCCTGAGCCCCGAGGTTGACACTTCGCCCACGAAGATCCAGCCTGCAGTACAAGTTGAGGTTATCGACTCAGTCTTCAGGCGTCGTACGATCGGAAACCAAGGCGGACATACCGATCGGAGCCAACGACAGGGCATAGGAATACACCCAGACACAGCTCAAGGCGATCAAGGCACTTCCAACGGACCCACTTTGGCTCGTGATAGTCCCCAAAGCGCCGATGCAGATTACGCAAATGCCGCATGCCGTCGACCCGAACAAGACCAGCGATCGACGTCCAGCGCGTTCTACCAGGTAGAACGAGCATAGGATGCCGAACAATAGCACGGCGTAAACGATCAAGTTGGCGGTGAAGACATCGTCGAGACCAACGATCTGGAAAAAGTAGCTGCGGGGCGAGCCAGTCGAGGTTACAATTCAGTTCGCAAGGAGTCGGCCCTGTGTGGACTTACGTAGCGTAACCCAATACGAGAGGAACGCCGACAAAGCTCTGTCGGGATTGGAGTGTCAGCTTTCACCCGCCAAGTTGTCCCACCGCCATTCATGCCTTACCTGAATGCACAGGGGCAATGCCGAGATCAAACTTCTTTTGAGATTGGTCCCCTTGAGCACGAGCAACCACTGGCTCGACTTGTTGCCGTCGCCCTCGAGGATTCTGTCCGACTCGCTGATCTCCCGTTGCAATACCGCGTATTCGTGCTCGAGATCGTAGCCTTCCACGTTACCGATGAGGAAACGTAAACTCTTCTTGGCCTTGTCGTGGTAGCCTTTACGGCTCAGCCATACCGGCGATTCGGGGAGGATGATACAAGGAACCAACCAGATTCCGAGTAGGACGAATTCCGAGTAGAACGCGTGTCGAAACGCCCAAGGATTGGTCTGCGATGGGGTACTCCTGATCAACATGTCTCTCCTCTCATCAAGAATCGTAGAACGTCGTACCGTACCTGGTTCAGAATCTGCAGACCGATCGCGGCAAACAACTGCCCCAGTGCGAACGAGAACGAGAATCCGGCGATCAATGCCCCGCGCAAGGGGGGTATCGAGATGTCGGTCAAGTAGGTGATCACACCGGTACCAATGTAGGCGGCTGCCAATCCAGAAAAGATTTTGGCCACGAGGAATACTGCCCAGTTCTTGGCGACAATCTCGATAATGATGGCCTATCGGTCCGCCAAACCGCGATTCCTCGTCAGACAAAGCGACGCTTTTTCTGGTGCAGTTATGCTCCTACTTACGATCAACATGCCTCCTGTCAGCAAGTAAAGGTTGATCTTGATTCCAAACCGGTCCGAGGTCAACGGAGACAAGGCTTGGAAGACGACCTGGGCGATGAATTGAGTTCCGCCCCAGAGCGAAACGTGGACCGCATTCAGAGCTTTGGCGCCGGTTACCGGATCCGTCTTGGTCCCAAATACGTCGATGAACCCTGCGAGAGTACCATGGTCCAAGTCGGTTGACACATCACAGAATCAGCAACTACAGCAATAGCACTCACCTGGATTAGCAATGATCGATCCCGGAATACTGATCGTGAAACCGAGGTACCTGCGAAGCGCCAAGACGAAACCAGGTCCGATTATCCTCTGAAACCATCGGGTTTGCGCGCGCGCGCTCGACCCACATTCCAGCGATGGTGACGCTCAGGCCCCAAAGATACAATCTCCAGAACTTCTTGACGGCTTGTATCGAAGACAAATGATTGAATCTCGATATCGGACCTTCATGACCGTTTCCCGTGCTGGAAACATCGAAAGTGACGAGTCCGCCTCCTCCGGCCACCGCCGTTTCAAAGTGCTCGTCCGTCCCCTTGAAGTCGACCTTGTCGGGTTCGTCAAATTGAGACATCGCTAGTCGAGCCGTTAAGCGAATTGATAGTTGATAGTAGCAGTAGCAGGAGTATCCGAGTTGAGTAGGTGAGAGCGTCGAGCAAGTATGGACGTGGTTTCCCGGTTTCGATCGGCCATCGGTCTTTATAAGCTGTTCATTTCGATGAATTCGGCTCCGTGCCGCGCAAGCGAGAAAGGCAGCAAGCTTATGCCCGGGATCCGTTCGGAGCCCGTGTTGAACCTGGAAACGGACACTTGGCGATGCCCCACAGCAGCGAGAGGGTGGGATCAGGATACAAAGAGGCAAAGAGCTAGCTAGTCAGCTAGTCAATACCCCAGACCGCACGATTGACGATGCGATTGATCATCTCGGACCCCGGATCGGAGACCCACAGCTACTCAACCGGAGCACCGAGATCATGTCTAAGCAGAAGGAAAGCGGACCGATTCGGATTCAGGTGCGACATTTTCTCTGTTCCTTTCTGCAGTCCAGAATCCAGCAAGGCTTCAGGACCGGAGCTCACTTCGAACTTGTCTCATCGAAACTTCAGAGAGCCTGTGATGAATGCAGACGTGAGTCCAGAGACTTTCGGCCGGCGTCCTACTCCGTATGCGATGTCTGGCTTACGCTTTGTTATCTCGGGCCGTCATGGGGACGATCAGGAAGAAAGGTCAGTATCGGCGAGTATAGCCTAGACCCTTTTCCCAAACGAGCTGACGGTATGGTCGACTGTGCCTCCTCAGATCCGATGCGATGGCTACCAAGACAAGAAACGACAAGGTGAGTCTTGCAACCTTTGAAAGTAGACCCCTCTCTGAAGCGATGACTCCGATTTTACAGTTTGTACACATTGCAGAGACTTTGAGCTCGCTTGCAACTACCTTGGATCAGCTGCAATCAAGCGGACAACACCTGCTGGCTACACCGAAGCTTTAGAAAAGCAGATCAAGTTGCTATCGGCTGAATTTCAACGAGTTCGTGGTTGCGAATGGCGAGCTGTAGTGGTCAAGCAGTCGACTGACATGTAGGACCGACTTGCAGCTACACCCCGACCTTGATCTGTCCCACGTCGTCGGTCCGAAATTGGACCGTCGTAGCTTCGACAAACAGGCTTTCGCATCTCGGATCAAGCAGATTGAGAGGTCTTCCACAGCTGCCGCTCATACCCCTGGCAACAGCAAACACGCCTCATTGCCGGACATAGCTATCTCCACAAATGACGATGCCACCCCGGAAGATATGGTGATGCCTTGGGAGTCTCATTCTGGCGGATCGGAACAAGACATGTCGGACCAGGAAGAGGATGCATTAGCACTCGAGGATGACGAGAAATTGATGGTAGAGATCTCGCACCTAGACCAGATCGAAGGGGATCCTTATCGATACCTGGGTCGGTCTTGTGAGTTCTGAGGTCGTAGTCAGCTTCGAGCGGCCATAGTATCGACATTGATGGTCGTCGTCCTCCCAGCCTTGCCTCGGCTTGCCATCATCGGCATGGCTCGGACCGCCCAGAACGGCGTCACACAGACCAGACAGAGACGAAATCCAGCCTATTGGAGCGCTACCCCTTGGCAGAGAAGGTAAGTTGGACAGGTTCTCAAACAGCGCTCGGATATCAGCTTACTATGATGCGCGAACAGCGTATCGCATATCTGCGTACATCCTCTTGACCACTCGACGTGGCCTCCATTAGACCTCGCACCTCGCTTGTTGAGAGCTTATTTCCAAAATCACAACAGCCTTCTTCCTATTCTGGCCGAGACGTCGTTCATCAGGGATTACGAAGCCGATCGGTGGAAGTACGACTCTACCTTTGCGAGGGTCTGCTTGATGGTCTTTGCGCTATCTTCGATCGTGGTGAAGGATGACGAGCGCGTGTTGTGGTCGTCAGCGAATTCTTCGGGACACGATCGTCATCACTCGGCTGGATGGAGCTATGCTGGAGAGGCCGTGAGGATGGGAAGGGGATCTTCGGATATCGCCCGACTAGAGGATATCCAGTTCGAAGCCGTATGTGCAGCCAGCTGACCGTCTTCACGCTTCCACCCGCTGAATCGCTCTTTTGCTGCAGTTGATGACATCGTTCTTGGCTCAGAATGGAGACACCTCGGCCGCTTGGCAACACGTTGGAACCGGTTTGCGCTACGCTGTCGACCTAGGCGTCCACGTACGAGCCGCTTTCATAAGGTTCAGGAACCCAGTCCTTTTCGAGCTACATACCCGCGTCTTCTGGGTCTTGACGTTTTGGGATAGGATTCTTAGCCCATTCTTTGGCAGACCGCTGGTCTTGTCACAGAACGAGTAAGTGCCAAGATACTGCTGTTTGAGCCAAGATCAAGCTGTTCTGACTGAAGCCATCTTCAGCTTCGACGTCGATCGCCCGACTGAAATTGATGATATCTACTGGAGACCCTTGAGTCTCGGTCAGCAACCTGAAGCCGTCATAAGCGACATCGTAGGCTTCAACGTCCTGCTCGACGTCACCGAGGTACTGGCTAGTCTCCAAGAGAAAGGCAAGAACCTAACAGCGCCGGGACATCGATCAGCTTCGAGAGCAGGTCAACAAGCAGTCTATCAAGCTTACGACGGTCTGGTCGCAAGGTGCTACGACCGGCTGGCAGAGATACAAGGGAGGTTGCCATCGCACTTACTATGGGATGAAGATCCGACCAGTCCGTGGTTCTTACAGCGCTGCTCAATACATGGCATCATCTCATACGCCCAGGCGAGTCCTCTTACCCGAGCATCCGCTCGAGAAGTCCACTGAATTTAATCTACGACTTTGACAGATTTCAATCGACTCGCCATATCCCGACTATACGAAACACCACGAATGGGCTGCGAGGCCGGAACTGCGCCGACGAGCCGTTCAGGCAGCCATGCGAGGAGTTGATATCAGTTTGAAGCAAGCTCAAGGCGAAAAGATCAACCACCTTACATGGGTCCCGCTTACAGCGTTCTCCTGCTTGCTGGCGGCGCAGATTCAATCCAATATGTCTGGTCCGATCCAAGATCGAGAAAGGGATGGATTGGACGAGGCTGTCGACAAGTGTCTGGATGCGTTCACCATGGCTCGCCGCTGGTGTGCTGGCTGGGGGAAGATACGGTACGTCGTTTACATTAGCCAAAGTCTAGTGGATACATGAAGGCTGACCGTATCTTCTTGCCGCAGCGATCTATTCCAAGGCTTTACAGCTGCCTTTAGGGATTCACAAGCGGGTCCATCGAACGTATCGGCGTCATCCAGTACAGCAACGATACCACCGGTATACCCTAGTCATCATCTAGCCGACGACCCCGAGATGGCTTTTCTGCTCGAACTCGCAGCGTTTTCGAACCCAACTTCCTTTTTACAAACCGAGTTGTAAAATATGCTAAGACGAAGCTTGCGCTTCGCGAGATCAAGATCCTAGGCTTGACGTCAGGCGACCGCAATGCGAACTCCCGCTGCAGAGAATCGTCTGGCTTGCCGAAGACAAGTTTCTCATAGGACAATGGTATGATAGATTGTGCTGCCGAAGTATGAACCAAAATGGGCCATGGTTCCGAGAGTGTTATTCGAATTCCTCTAACAGGGTCGAATGGCAAACATCGATACGCTGACGTGATTCCTCAAGACCTGCATCGCCGACAGCGCATCGTGCCAAGCTTCGGTAAGGAGGGTCCATGCAACTGCTACAGCTTCGACGGCTCGGCCCGTCGGTAGCGGAGAAATGAGAAATGCCTCATTCTTGTGTTGTGCTGATTGCGAGCGTTCGGCGTAAAGAACGGTCCGCTCGGCCTTCGTTGCCCGAGCGGACCCCGTCGGTTTCCCCGACGAGTCTTCCGCTGGCTGTGAGAGTCAAGTCGCACATGGATATATATAGAGAAGCATATGTCACTAGCTGTTGAAGCAGAACAGGACCACAAGCCTTGGTACCATAGCTGTGATCAGTCGCTTCTACTCTCCACAAGCTCCGGGACGATCGACATCATGCCACTCAACGACGCGCCAATACGTCTGCACAAGACATCGGAAGGAGGTCATCAGATTCTCCTTCGCAACGAGCCGTACCTCGTCATCGGCGCCGAAACGCACAATTCGAGCTTCTCCTCGTCAAAGTTTATGAGCGACAAGTGGGCACCGCTTCAGGCAGCCGGAATCAACACCATCCTCGGCGCAGTCTGCTGGGACCAGATCGAACAGACCGAAGGGCAATTCGACTTTGAGCACCTTGACGGCATCATCGAGCAAGCGCGGGACCGGAAGATGCACTTGATCCTGCTCTGGTTCGGATCGTTCAAGAATGGTACGTCATTGACATACGCTTGCCTTTGACATGCTCGCGGCTGAAGAATTCAATCTTATCATGGCTATCCAGGACAATCGTCTTATGTGCCTACGTGGGTCAAGAAGGATCATCGACGCTTCCCGCGAGCGTTTATCAGAGACTCTACGTCCGGCAAGCTGAAGATGACCGAAGTATTGTCCGTATTCGATCGTTCGAACGTGGAAGCCGACAAGACCGCCTTCGTGCGTTTGATGCGCCATATACGGGACATCGACTCGGCGCACGGTACCGTGTTGATGGTGCAGGTCGAAAACGAGGTCGGGCTGCTGGGATCGTCGAGGGATCATGGGTCATCGGCGGATAAAGCGTTCAAGCAGGCCCCTCCCAGCGAAATGGTGGATCGACTGCGTTCCGACCGTGACAATCTGAACCCGACGCTCCTCTCGTCGCTCCATCACTTTCTCAGCCTTCCGGCCACCGCCCGGCCGGCGAACTGGTCTGAGACATTCGGAACGTCGTTGAAGGCGGACGAAGTATTCATGGCGTACCATTACGCTCGTTATGTCAACGAGATCGCGGCTGCAGGCAAGGAGGCATACCAGCTGCCCATGTTCGTCAACGTCTGGCTCTCTTCGATTGACATGGATCGCGATATTCAGCTTCCTACCTTCATGACCGCTGGAGGTGGTGGCCATCCGGGATTTTATCCTTCAGGGGGACCAGTGATTGACGTTCTGGACATCTGGCAACTCTTCGCGCCTTCGATCGATTTCGTAGCGCCCGACATCTACCTGCAGGTCTACGCAAAAATCCTGGCGCATTATCGACACCGAAACCAGCCGTTGATGATTCCCGAACAGAGACGAGACGAGCATGGCTTGAGGCGGCTCTGGGAAGCGTATGGTTCGCACGGGGCTCTATACGCTTCTCCATTCGGTATCGATACGTTCCCGGACGCCGAGCGCGACCTCCTCGTCGAACACTTCGGTCTTCTCTCCAAGGTTCGCAAGTACTTGCTTGATATCCAGGCGGACCCGAAACGAGGGTTTGGGTTCTGTTTCGACGAACCGAAAGACGGCGAGACCTTTAACTCTGCGCCGAAACACATCGAGATGGGCAGCTGGAGACTCACGGTCACCCGAGGATTCAGCTTTGGGGATGTCCGTCCCGGGTACGGCATAATCTACCAGCTGTCCGAAGACCGATTCCTCCTCGTTGGAGGCGGATTCTCCGTCGGCTTTGAGAGTACGAAGTCGACTTCGCTCTTCTCGGGCATCGCTCGATTGTCAGAAGTTGACATTTCCGATCCGTCAACTGGCGAGCTGGTTGTCAATCGATGGATGAACGGCGACGAGACCGGGAGCGGGACGTCGGCACGAATGCCTAACTCGCAGTTGCCGCCGATGACAGTTCCCATCCCGATCGACACCCCGGCAGTTACGAGATTGGCCGTTTGTGAGGTTTATAGCCTGGAGGAGTGATCAACGAGATTAGACGATTACGATGTAGCTTTGATAGCCATTATGCCGTTCCGATTGGATCCTTCGATTGCAGAGTAGATGGCGAAACCTACACTTCCGATAACGATTCTAGGGTTAGGGGGTTAGGGGTTAGGGGTTAGGGGTTAGGGTTAGGGTTAGGGGTTA